CCCTCTCCCGATTTTTCTGAAACATCTGTCATATCCGTCATATCTGTCATATTCCTCTGATTCTATCGTATTTTCCTCTCTTTTCCCTTATTTTATCCTTTTTTAGTATATTGTTATATGACTGATGTTATTGACAGATGGTGACAGATATAGGGGATTCCTGATCCCCCGTAGGGGGGAAGGAGGTACTGCGACGGGTCGTAGACCCGGAGGTGGGTGGTGCTTGCACCTCCCACATCCAGCCCGACGACACATGTAGCTTCATTTTAAGCCTATATTCACTTTGTGTAACATCAGTGCATAAAGACGCATAATTTCCTTATATGGTATATACATTACACAAATCGAACATAGGCTTAAATCGAAGCTACATGTACCAGGAAAATCGCTACGGAGCCAGATTTATGGTATTAAAATACAGTTATAATTTTAGTAAAAATTTTAATTTTAGTCATGTGATATTATAACAGCCAATCAGAATTTCGGAATAGTTTCAGCATTTCAGAATTAAGTATTTTTCCTAAATTAATTTTACCATTTTGGTTTCAGCAAATGGTAAAATTCCCTAATTTCAGACGGCAGCCACAGGTCAAAATGCTAAAAATCGGCAAAAAAAATGGCACGAAAAGCAGTGACTATTTTTGGCTATTTTTGGCTATTTTTGGCTGTTTTTGGCTGTTTTTGGCTATTTGCAAATTAACCTATACTATTTGTAAATAGTTTATACAAATTTGCAAATAATTTATGCAATTTGCGCCATTTTTTTTGCCTGTTTTTGGTTATTTGACGTGTGAGCTTTAATCTATGCATTGTGAGGGCTAACATAAAATGATAGCAATAATTCAATGATCGTGTGGTCAGTATTTCGTCATAGTCAATCATAATCCTATAGCCGTATCCCATAGTCTGCCATAGTGTACGATAACATTATATTACTAAAATATAGACCGGATGTCATTATATGAACAGTATGATAATCGGATCATAGGCTACAATCGTTTATTGTTTGCTAACCTGTTTATATGAGAAAGAGAGACCACAGATTACCTGAGTTTAATTACAGTTCGATCTGAGTTCAGTTTAAATTTAATTACAATTCAATCTGAGTTTGATTTCAGTTTGATCTGAATTTGATCACAGTCTAATTCTTATAGGTAGAAATAAAATAATGATTATCTGAAGTAAAAGCAATTATTTTTTATCTAATGATGCATAAAATTTAGCAACTCTTATATAAGATTAAGTGGAAAATTAAACATACATATATGAGTATCACATTCAGATTTTTTTTATAGATGCATTTAATTTGTAATACAAAAGTACAAGATCATGAGTACATAATATTTAATAAATACGTAATGCATAATAAGTATATTGCTAACATCTTTATTAAATTATCGCATCTCTACTATAAACTGAAAAATAAATATGTCTAATCTTATAATATAGGTTCGCAAATCTGCTATCTGTTTTATACACTACAAATTGCTATAAACTATGAACTATAATTTGAGTATACCATCTGTAGCTGCTATTAACAGGACTGTCTTAGACTCTATCAATTATAACTAAACGTTAGGGAAACAATAACTATAACGTAATTTATATTAGCAAGATACGCAAAAACACAATAAACAAAATATAACACAATCATAATTTGTTTTTAATATAAGAATTTATTGAATATTTAATATAAGTTAATCCTTAACTTATACTATTTAAACTTAATACACTTCGATCTCTCTATTTCTACCTTACTTAAACTCAAGAAAAATCAAAAAATATTTATATAAAAATTTTTCAAACTATCACTGGGGGTGATAATCACCGGTGATTGAAATTCAGTTATAACAATCGACTAGCATTAAAAAATATAATGCCAGTAAAAATTGATAATTCTGGGCAACGGTGATGATTTGAAGTAAAAACCTTTATATAAAATAAAATATAAGAAAAATAATATAACATATGGGCCGATTCTTGGAATCTAATTTTTTACACAAAAATAATTTTATTAAAGCAAATATAAATTATCATTTATATAAGAATAATAAATTTATACTAGATAATGCAAAAAAAACTAATTAATTATATAATTTTTAATTTTTTTTTAATATAAGATATCATTAAAATTTAAAAGATCAAATATAACTCTCATGACAAAATTATTGATAATTCTTCGTAGAAATAAGCTATACAAATAAATTTACATTCATTNAATGCATTATGATTTTTTTGATCATAATTAAAATGACTCATACACACCCCCAATGGTATTCCTTTTGACTGGTATTCTGATACTGCATTTTCATCTATTTGCCAAACTCCAACTAATTGGCATAAATTCCTAACATTTTTAGTTTGACCACAAGTTTGCAATTTATTATCTAAATAATCAATTAGAATACATGGTGAAAAATTTGTATACATGGCTGGATTAAGTCTATATACAGGTTCGTTTGCATCTTCAACAGGAGGTGGAGGAACTTCTTGGTCTTCATATGTACCAAATTCTTCTTCGTTTTCATCACTTGAATATTCCACAACTTCTTGTTCTAGTGCATTTTGCGCATTAATATAATTTTTTTCATTAAATTCAAATATTTCTAACTCAGAAAGTTCATCAAAAGAAGTGTCAAGATCTTCTTCAGTTTCTTCTGAAAATATTTCTTGACTACTATAATATAAAGGGGTTTTTTCTTCAAAAGTAATTTCATAAGTCTCCATATCAATAAATTAAAATTTATGCAAACTTTGACGTTAAGATTCTTTTAAACGAGGAACAATATTATATTAAAACGAACAATAATAATATTAACATACCTCGAACAATAAACCTAACCACTTTTTATCACATGATATGATGTAATATTTTGTTACAGACAAATGGAAAGTTGTTGAATTTTGCGGTTTTCTATATGTTTTTGGATTTTTTACTATGATATGCAACATGCAGATTTCTTAATTAAAAATGTTACACAACCCGATCAGGGGACATGCACACTGACTGTTAGAACTGAAAAACCAGCAGTTCAGTTCAGTTTAATCCGATTTTTTATAAAAATGCGAAAAATCAAATAGCCACCCATCTAGTGATTGTACAAAGTTGAGCTATATATCATTGGATTCGTCTCAACGAGACGTGACGAATGGTGGTAAGATTATGTCTCTAGCATCGATAGATCACACGTTAACTCACACTAAATGATTTATAAATAATTGGAATTATCAAGCTATCTATCGGCTGTCTCTTATACACATCTAGATGTGTATAAGAGACAGAATCTGAGTTACGTAAATATGTAACACATATTTAATTTAGATTTGTGTAATGTTAATCTTACTAAAATATTAAATTTTTATAAAAATCTTAATTTAGACTAATTCCAAAAATCGGCACATATGACTAATATAAATAAAATATATAAAATAAATAATAAAATTGCTACGAATTACCAGTATTACATGATTTTTAAAATTTTAGCTAGAATTAAATAATTTACATAAAAATTTCCTTTTTTAAAATCTTGTATAACGCATTTCTCCATTTTTAATGAAAAACAAAATTGCTTTTTTTGGATTATGTAATATTACTCAAACTCTATAAAGAAAATTTATATGTCAATTTCTTAATTCTGGCCAAATTTTATAAAATCACATAATACTAATGATGATCACCGCTGGTGATAAATAGCAAACTCCAATAAATCTGTCTCTTATACACATCTAGATGTGTATAAGAGACAGGTTGAATCATGTATCATTTTATTAGAATATATTTGGACTATATAATAATCACAACTATTCTGTAAATGATACTCCCAGCTCCTGGCCAGTCTGATCAAACATTAACTATTATATCACTAATAAATTAAGAACAAAATTAAATAGTAAAAGTAAACCAAAATAATTAAACTAAAATACCATACTATAAACCAAAAATAATAAAAATAATAAAAATAATAAAAATAACATAAATAATATAAATAATAAAAATAATAATTGTAACGTTAATCAGACCTACAAAATTATTTGATTATATAATGATTGATCTATTAATTAATTATCTGATTTTCAAGTCACGTAATTTTTACTGCATCATAATCTTTATTCTCACTGCATAAAACTGTTCTGAATATAATTAGAACCCCAAGCTATATATAAAAAGGTAAGGTAAAGGTGCTGTCAGATATTACCTAATATTTTAGGGGATGGGAGGTAAATAAAGATCTTAGATTACATACAATACTATAAAAGAAATTATATATATAACATATTTTACCTAGGGAAGGAGGGTAAGCTCTTATATTAAAGTGATATTAGGTAATATCTGACAGTGCCCTAAGGGTTTGTGTAGAATTGACAAAAATAATCATATAGATCTTTCCTTTTATAAATAATTCTGGCCAGATTTTATTTCCTTTTTTAGATAGCAACCGGTATTAAGGTTGCTTGTCTAAACCTCTTCAAAATCCTACGATTAGTTTCGTCAAAATTTTACTATAGATTTATTATAGTTTCGGCAGAGTTTTGGCAGTTTCGGCATTTATAATAAGTTTCGGCAGTTTCGCTTTTCTCCAAAGTTTCGCCAGTTTTTTAATATAACTTTAATATAGTTTTGGCAGAATTTCGCTTTTCGGCAAAACGCCATCTTGCCTGAACCCCTAGGTTTCGGCAAGCAACCTTAACCGGTATTATTATAATTCTGGTACTGAAAAAATGTGTAGAGCTAATAGTAATTTTTTTTAGCTGCACCTTACCTCTATATATATAGCTCAGGTTCTATATAATTAGTGCTCTGAAATAAGTTGAGTTAACTTACAAGTTGGTTAAATTGAGTTGAGTTGAGTCAAATTGAAAATTATAATTAAATCGAATTGAGTCAAGTCAAGTTAATAATTTAATAAAATCAAATCAAGTTAAATCAAATCAAATTAACTTATAATTCCAGCCAAAATTATAGAATTTCCTTTTTGGGAAGCTATGTTACATAAAATCTGAGTAAAGCTCTAATCAGGTTGGTCCTAATCCGACAACCTGGACTGAAAATTCGGATTGGTCCAGTCTGGGTTGATGCTTCAACCCGGACCAAAATATTTGGTCCAGTCCGATCCAGTTTCGGATTATAAACCCGGACTGAAAAAACAGGTTGGGACCGGACCGGACTGATAAATATTTTCGCAATAGTTTATATTAAAACCGTTGCGATTATTTAATTATTAAATAAAAAAACGTTGCATAACGTTTTCTTTAACATATTATTATAAAAAAACGTTTGCGCAACGTTTTTTAATTAATTTAAAGAAAAAACGTTGTGCAACGTTTTTTCTAATTATATTTATTAAAAAAAACGTTTGCGCAATGTTTTTCTAATTAGTTTAAAGAAAAAACGTTGCGCAACGTTTTTTCTTATCATATTTAATTAGAAAAACGTTTGCGCAATATTTTTCTAATTAGTTTAAAGAAGAAATGTTGCGAAACGTTTTTTCTTATCATATTTAATTAGAAAAAACGTTTGCGCAATGTTTTTCTAATTAATTTAACGAAAAAACGTTGCGAAACATTTTTTCTAAGTATATTTAGTTAGAAAAAACGTTTTCGCAATGTTTTTCTAATCAACTTAATGAAAAAATGTTGCAAAATGTTTTTCTAAGTAATTATAACTAAAAAAATGTTTTCGCAACGTTTTTTTATTATAGGACCGGACCGGACCGGACCAAAATAACTGGTCCGGTTCGGTCTGGTCCCAGATTCTCCTTTTAATATAAACTGGACCGGACTGAAATGAACTAATTTTTCAGTCCGGTCCTGGGTTACTCTCCAACTCGGACCAATCCGGACCATTTAGAGCTTTAAATCTGAGACAAAAAATTTTTAAATTTTACAAAAATGGAATTTATGAAATGGCTATCGCCAAAAAGGAAATGATCAGTATAGTCAAAATTAAAGCTCTGAACGGTTTGGGCTAAACTGAAGAACTGATTCAAAACCGGTTCAAAATTCGGTTTAGTTCGGTTCAGGTATTAGCAGTCAGTGTGCATGTCCATTTTACATTGCCGATCATATTAAAAATTATTGTGTAACATTCGTTCAAGATATTCCATTAAAGACTTTCGTTCTAAGCCACAATATAATCGTTCTTCACCCTTGATAAACTTTTTTCAACAACATTTCTTCTATTAAAATAAGTAAAAGTTTGGCCCTCCCTGCTTTCCTGCGAAATTTTATCCTATCAGGAAATTTACCTATTTTTGACACTAAAGCCCGAGATTCTTTTGCTACCAACTTTTAAATCAAAAAAAAGTACCCAACGAACTTAGTTTTTAGCAGTTCTTTTGACGTAACCACTTTAAGAAACCATATACAACAGGACTTTTTAACGAAAAATGGCATTTTTTTTATATATAATGAAACCTTGAAGACTTCTTTTATTAAAGACCAAGTTTATTTAAGGTAATATATAATAAATTATTAATGTTTATTGTTTTTATTACGTCTATGATGAGATATATATTGATAAATTCGATCCTTATCCCATTCATTTCCTAGCAATTCTCTAACTTGTTCTATTTGTTCATCATTCGGATACTCAGAACAAGTCACTAATGGTTCTAAAAGACTCTTTTCTTTGGGTTTAGTTTTATGATGTGATTGTCTTGGCTTTTTTATTAGCGGCCCATCTTTATCTATAATTACTATTTGAAGTATCAAATTAGTTGGCATCTGTTGATCAGAAATAGAATTTTCTGTATTTGAACTCGATGCCATTTTGTTTTTATTTTTTTTGAATTTTGGTCATTAGGTTTCCATCTTATAATTCCCAATTTTCTCCTTCCAACTTTATTACTTTTTTGTATTGAAATGACATCTTGTAGGAAAATTTCTTCTATTCTTAAAATTCCATCAGGAAAACAGTTTTCAAGACGTCTAATACTGTCTGCCGTAATATGATCAGAAGTAGTAGTACTCCATAAAGGATTTTGATAACGATTATAATTATCAGAATGTTCAAATGCTGACAAAAGTTCGTTTACTAGTTTCCACATGGCCATTTTACGGATATCTACAGCTCTTTGTCCAATTGATCTACAAGGATCATTAAGATATTCTAATAATAAGATTCCTATACGACACAGGTCGAAAAGTGAAAAATCAGGCACCAATCAGTCACCAATCAGGTAGCTGATTGGTGACTGATTGGTGACTGATTGGTGACGGTATTTGGCAAAAATGCCAATCAGGCACCAATCAGTCACCAATCAGGTACCTGATTGGTGACCGATTGGTGACTGATTGATTTTCACTTTTCGACCTGTGCGATCTTGTTTATTCTAGGCAGCTTTGACTTGTAATTTTAATTTATTATCATCAACTACATTTCCGGTAATGTTCTGTTTGATAAACTTAACTCCGAAGGTTTCAAGGGCTTCGTCAAATGCGAAGTAGTGACCCTTTCGTTTTCATCATTATCAATTTTAACTGACGAAACACATTCCAATTTTTCTTCAAGTTTTGGGTATTGAGCCAGCATTCCAAGATATTGAGTAACTGATGACGAATAGTTTGATTTTCCTGCTGATGTAAATAAACCAGCAAAACAAGACAAAGCATTTTTCTGCAATTTATAATTGCCAACACGGATTCCTACACGATGTGCTTTGAAAATTGATGCCCATTTATAATAAAGATACCATATTCGTAAAATATTATTGGCACCACTATTTGAATCCATTATATTATATTTATTAAGGTTTGTTTTTTTCATATATATGCGAATAGATATAGTTACTGCACACCATATTAACTCTAAAACACGAACTGTAGAACGATAATCAACAATTTTGTCCAATTTATCCAAGAATTTGACTCCTGATACTTTTGCTAGGTCAAAAATTCCATAGCTCGAAAAAAATACAATTAAAACTCCACACATATCCTTGGATGTGTGCCACTGGCCAAGAATAGGAAGCAATTTCGGCCATATTTTTCTCTGTTTTATTAGTCTTCTGAAGATTGCTTCATCAGCTACCACATCCAAGTAATCATCCGGTCCTAAATTAAAGTCTTGTTTGTACATTTCTGTGGATTGAAATATTCCTTCGTCTGAATTTGGAATTCCTCCAGTTTCTAATATGACTATATTAGGTGCATCAGCTAAACAACCATGATCAACATTTTCAAGAATTTTTTGGTGAATAGCTGCCATATCAAAATCGGTATTGTAAAGAAGTTGTCCTTCAGAACTTGTTTGAAAATTTAAGAGATTATCAATAATATCATCAAACTTATCCCATGTGTCTTTCATCAGATCATTCATGCCAAAAAGACCTGTTGGAGATGTTATATTTTTTTTATCATCTACTCTTTCTTCCAAAGGAATTGGCATCCGCATTTGAAATGCCATTCGTAGCGTTGTATGAGAACTTTTGCGTGTGGTGTCAAAAATATTTCCGTATGTAAAAGATTTTTCTTTGAAATCAATATTATCTATAACCACCAAATTCCATATATTTGGTCCTTTTATTAATCTTTCAGTTGGATTAACTTTATCCATTCGTTGTTTCTCTATTCGGCGTTCATTACTATCAGTATGACCACTTATATGAAGAGTAGATAAGAGTTGGCGAAATGAAAAAAAGAGGCGTGATTTTCGAGACATACTAGCCATTACCTGAGTAAACCAAACACCAAGATAAGGAAATGCCATACTTATTATAAGTGAAGCAAAAAATGTTACACATTTGGTAATATGTTCAACATCTAATTGTTTTAAAGGTTTTTCACGTTGTTTTCGTTTTTTATTTAAATTTATTAATTTTTTTTTAAAAATTTCACCAATAAGCCCATCAAAAAAACCTCTTAGAAAATTTGGAAAACTTTCATAATATGCATTAAGAGAAATTGGTAATTGTATTTCTGATTTTTTATCTGTAACTATTTTACGCGAATTCCATACTTCATTTCCCAATTTTTCTCCAATTTCTTTCCATTTATCATCCGTCCAGTCTAATTTTGGTTGTGTAATATCCGTTATACGATTTATATTTAATAATAATTTTAAAAAAAAGTAACTGGGCAATTTAGGTAAAATTTCAATTAAAAATTTAATTGAATCATCAATATTATTTGTATTATTAAATTCATCAAGATTTAAATAAAGTGTATTATCTTTAGAATTATAATATTCATACTTTAAGGGTGTTTCAGATGGAGTATATAAAAATTTTAAAGCTGGAACTAACATAGAAGCGAGAATTATTTCTTTTTTTTCTTCTGTTTCAGTATCTGCTACATACGTAAGCCACTGAGCCAATAATTTTAAACTTTTGGATGTATCTTCTTTATGCAATTTATGTTGTTCACAAGTTGTTTTTCGTTTGCCAGAACCAGGTCGACGGTTTAAATGCCCACCATAAGATTCATAACAATTATAACAAATATATAGAATTGTTGAAACATCATCAAAAATTCGCTGGGAAATACCTTGGCATTCGTGTACTGCATTACATGTATAGAGACCAACACATGGAATTTGGATATATTTTCCCCACATTTTCCATAAATGATCTTTACATCCAATTCCACGGCTAAAGAAATGAAAATTTTTAGAACACAATAAGCAACGTCGACGGCTAATTTCACTTTGTTCAGGATTCCGCAATTGTTTTATAAATGCATTATGATTTTTTTGATCATAATTAAAATGACTCATACACACCCCCAATGGTATTCCTTTTGACTGGTATTCTGATACTGCATTTTCATCTATTTGCCAAACTCCAACTAATTGGCATAAATTCCTAACATTTTTAGTTTGACCACAAGTTTGCAATTTATTATCTAAATAATCAATTAGAATACATGGTGAAAAATTTGTATACATGGCTGGATTAAGTCTATATACAGGTTCGTTTGCATCTTCAACAGGAGGTGGAGGAACTTCTTGGTCTTCATATGTACCAAATTCTTCTTCGTTTTCATCACTTGAATATTCCACAACTTCTTGTTCTAGTGCATTTTGCGCATTAATATAATTTTTTTCATTAAATTCAAATATTTCTAACTCAGAAAGTTCATCAAAAGAAGTGTCAAGATCTTCTTCAGTTTCTTCTGAAAATATTTCTTGACTACTATAATATAAAGGGGTTTTTTCTTCAAAAGTAATTTCATAAGTCTCCATATCAATAAATTAAAATTTATGCAAACTTTGACGTTAAGATTCTTTTAAACGAGGAACAATATTATATTAAAACGAACAATAATAATATTAACATACCTCGAACAATAAACCTAACCACTTTTTATCACATGATATAATGTAATATTTTGTTACAAACAAATGGAAAGTTGTTGAATTTTGCGGTTTTCTATATGTTTTTGGATTTTTTACTATGATATGCAACATGCAGATTTCTTAATTAAAAATGTTACACAACCCGATCAGGGGACATGCACACTGACTGTTAGAACTGAAAAACCAGCAGTTCAGTTCAGTTTAATCCGATTTTTTATAAAAATGCGAAAAATCAAATAGCCACCCATCTAGTGATTGTACAAAGTTGAGCTATATATCATTGGATTCGTCTCAACGAGACGTGACGAATGGTGGTAAGATTATGTCTCTAGCATCGATAGATCACACGTTAACTCACACTAAATGATTTATAAATAATTGGAATTATCAAGCTATCTATCGGTGCTAGAGACATGATTTTAGCACCATTCGACGCGTCTCAGTGAGACGAATCCAATGAATATAATTTCGTCCATATACGACTACTGGATGGTGAATAATATCAAGTTTCGCATTTTCTTAAAATTTTCGAGCGTTAAAAATTAAAAATTCCGATACATGAATTTATTTGTCGTCCAATGGTCGTACAAATATGAATTAAGATTTATTGGATTCGTCTCAATGAGACGAGTCGAATGGTGGTGAGATCATGTCTCTAGCATTAATAGATCGTAAGTTAATTCACGCTAAATGATTTATAAAAATTTGGCATTAGCAAGCTATCTATTGATGCTAGAGACGTGATCTAATTACCATTCGACTCGTCTTATCGAGACGAATCCAATGAGTCCTAATTCATATTTGTATGACCATTGGATGATGAATAAATTCATGTATCGGAATTTTTAATTTTTAATGCTCGAAAATTTTAAAAAAATGCGAAACTTGATATTATTCGCCATCCAGTAGTCATACACAGATGAATTTATATTCATTGGATTTGTCTCACTGAGACGCGTTGAATGGTGCTAAGATCATATCTCTAGCACTAATAGATAGCTTGCTAATTCCAATTATTTATAAATCATTTAGCGTAAGCTAATATATGATCTATTGATGCTAGAGACATGATCATACCACCATTCGATGCGTCTCATCGAGACGAATCAAATGATATATGGCTCGGCTTTATACGATAACTAGATGGGCGGTTATTCGATTTTTTGCATTTTTATAAAAATCGGATTAAACCGAACTGAACCACCAGTTTTTTGGTTCAGTTCTTACGGATTTTGGCTCTAATCTGAACCATCTATAATCCAGGCCAAACCGACCTGTTCGAAGCTTTAGTCAAAATAAATCACATGATTTAACTCAATTCAGTTCAATTCAGTTTAATCGGTTAACTTGACTTGAATTGAGTCAAGTTTATATTTTTTATAATTTTAACTCGACTTAACTCAACTCAATTTAATATGAGTCGAGTCAAATTTATATATAACTTAACTCGACTTGACTCATTTGAAGTATAATCCAGATTTATTCTAATATTAAATCGCAAATTTTTATTACAATAAAGAAAAAATTCTGATTTTATTCTGATAAAAAATTACTAATTATAGTAAGAAATATGTGATAATTCTAGCCGACTTACATATTAATATAAGCTAACTTAGGTTGTGCTAGTGATAGGACAAATAGATATTGCAAAATTGCAAAATCACATTTTTTAATGAAACTTTTATTACAATATAGTTATAAAATATACAATAATGATTGGCTAGTTGTCACATGTCAGAATAAAATTGTTAAAAATTATAAAAATTCTGTTTTATTCCATAATACAGCAAAAATTCTGATTTATTCATTTATTATAAAAATGGAATTTTCCTGGGTTTCTGACTAGATATAATCTAGATAAAGTGAAAGACATATGTGGTTAAGCTATACAGAATAAGTCGCAGTTTATTAACTATTGATTATAGAACCAGTAGAAATATTAGAACAATGGAAGACATATATAATGAGACATATGGGCTGATTTGTTTACCTTTAATTAAAATATTAATTTTATTACATTTTTATTATACAAAATACTATATAATATACAGTAAATTGGAAATGAGTATTAAAAAATTTTTATTTAATGTTATTATACTATAATTTGGTAAATATTTCTTTTAAATTAATATAATTCTTAGCACTTACTATATATGTTAAAAATTTGTATCTCAACTTAAAACGTAAATATCTCCAGATTCAGTGATCCAATTGGCAAGCTCTTTTTTCATTCATATAGACCAGATCAAAGGCTTTCCAAAGAGCCTAAATTTATAAAAAATGGATCAGTGGATCCAAAGATATTTGCATTTAAGCATGTTAAAAAGTTCATACCTCAACTTTAAACGTAAATATCTCCAGATCTAATGATTCAATCGGCGAGCTCTTTTTTCGCCTATAAAGTCCAGAACAAGGGCTTTCCAACGAGCCTAAAATTATAGAAAACGGATCAGTGAATCTTAATATATTTGTGTTTAAAGATGGTAATACAAACTTCAACATAAAATAATTATTTTTATTGTTTGAAAATATCTATTATGATACCATTTTTTATATGATATTTTTATCATACTTTTATAAACATTTATAGCTACTAAGGCTATATAAATTTTTATTTTACTTTATATTTTATTAAAATATACTTACTTTTTAATAATATATGTTAAAAATTCCATATATATGAGAAATGGGTTTTTTATTAGTGAAATGGGTTTTTTCACAGCTTTTTTACATTTAATAATTTAAGTTTCGCAAATGTAAATTTTTGTTCAACTTATTATTTAGTCAAGTGATCATCAATCAGATGATTTTTTGGTATTACAAAACAATTTTGAATAACAAAAATTGTGAAAATCAATCAATAACTCTTTTTAATGCAGAGTAAACAAATCAGCCCATATGAAATGTCAAAATTTTACTATCGCTGTAACTGTAGATATTGGACTTGATCATATGGAATAGATAAATAGAAAAGGTCATATAATTGTAAGTTACGTGATAAGATATAATATTTATGATGAAATCACGTGATAAAAGTTATATGATAGAAGTCACGTGATATAATATATATGCTTTAGCTTTCAAAATAATTCAAAATGTAGAAGTTAGTCATATATTTCAATATTTGGGTAAACTTGGATAAAACTATTAATATTAAATTCAACTTTAAAAATTTCACAGATCAAAAAGTGAAAAATCAGGCATCAATCAGTCACCAATCAGTCACCAATCAGATAACTGATTGGTGACCAATTGGTGACTGATTGATGCCTGATTTTTTACTTTTTGACCTTTGTTTGAAGATATTTAAATATGTTATTTTTTACTTATCTTGAATTAATTTAAAAATAAGCCATCAAAAAAAATGAATCTTTTTCAAAAGCAGAACTAAAGAAAAGATGTGAATGTCTTACAGAAGAAATAAGATAGATAGAAGCATGAGGAAAAGTTTTTTTAAAAAAAAGCAATCTACTTTAAAACAGAAAAGCTTAGTCAACAAGGATAAATTTACTATTTTAGCTGAAATTTAGACTTTACTAAGATCATTAGCTAACCTAATGGGATGATTAGACAAATATAATGTTTTGGGATTTTGGTGTACTTGTTATCTTATATATAATTATTAACCCTTTTTTTACCCTGGCTTTTTTAATTTAAATCCTTTTTTTTATTATTTTATAATAAGTCTTGCTGAAATTTCCTGTAAGTATAGACTAAAAGAAGGATTTCAAAGTATGTATTTAACTGTAGAAATTACTCTCATAGTCCAAATTTTACCTAATAGTGTATATGTGAGGTTCTTTTTAGGATGACAAGTGTTTAAAATTTACTGATATTAAATAAACTGATTTTATTTTTTTATATACTGTATAATGTATTACAAATCAAATTTTCTAATAAAGTTTTAAATATAATTTTATAATTTATCATCATGACGAGACCAGTAATTCTCAAAAAGTGATCACAGTGAGTATTAAGAAGTTACCCACTTTTGCAAAATAAAAATAAAACCATATGGGCTGATTTGTCTACTCTGCATTAAAAAGAGTTATTGATTGATTTTCACAATTTTTGTTACTCAAAATTGGTTTGTAATACCAAAAAATCATCTGATTGATGATTACTTGACTAAATAATAAGTTGAACAAAAATTTACATTTGTGAAACTTAAATTATTAAATGTAAAAAAGCTGTGAAAAAACCCATTTCACTAATAAAAAACCCATTTCTCATATATATGGATTTTTTAACATATATTATTAAAAAGTAAGTATATTTTAATAAAAAATAAAGTAAAATAAAAATTTATATAGCCTTAGTAGCTATAAATGTTTATAAAAGTATAATAAAAATATCATATAAAAGATGGTATCATAATAAATATTTTCAAACAATAAAAATAATTATTTTATATCAGAGTTTGTATTACCATCTTTAAATGCAAATATATCAAGATTCACTGATCCGTTTTCTATAATTTTAGGCTCATTGGAAAGCCCTTATTCTGGAATTTATAGGCGAAAAAAGAGCTCGCCAATTGAATCATTAGATTCAGAGATATTTACGTTTAAAGTTGATGTACGAACTTTTTAACATGCTTAAATGCAAATATCTTGGGATCCACTAATCTATTTTTTATAAATTTAGGCTCTTTGGAAAGCACTTGATCTGGTCTATATGAACGAAAAAAGAGCTTGCCAATTGGATCACTGGATCTGGAGATATTTACATTTTAAGTTGAGATACAAATTTTTAACATATATAGTAAATTCTAAGAATTATATTAATTTAAAAGAAATATTTACCAAATTATAGTATAATAATATTAAATAAAAATTTTTTAATACTCATTTCCATTTTACTGTATATTATATAGTATTTTGTAT